CCCCGGGGGATGGGGCATGTTGGCATGTGTGGGCCCACCCACGGCCTTGGGCCTGCACGCGGTGTGGGGGGGTGTCAAGTGTTATTCCTGCCTCTAGGTCTTGGTGTCACACCACCCAGGCCCTGCACCCAATGGCATTAGTCTGTGCCCCTGCCCACCCCCACCCCCACCCCAGGAGGGCCCAGCCCTTCCTGCCAATGAGAACCTTAGGGTCTCGTGGTGTCAGTGGCAGGACTGGCACCCTTGGGGAGTGACTCTAGGCCTGCACTCACATGCTGGCCACAAGCTCAGTAGGGAAACTTGCCCCAAGCACCCAGCCCAGTGCCCAACCCCCAGGTGGAGGCTGGGGGAGGCTCCAGGGCCCTGTGGCTGCCAGCGGGCACTGGTGGATCAGACTCTGGGGTCCCCTGGGGAGGGACATTTCCTTTCCCCAAACACACCACCCCTGGCCTGGTGGGAGTGCAGCCTTGCAGCAGGGGATGGTCCAGGCCGTCTGATGGGCCGGATGGACACACCTGCCCCAGGCTCCCAGCCTGACAGCGCCCCCCGTGGTAGAGTTTGTGATCTCTACGCAAACCCCATGTCCTGGCTGCAGGAGCGGCCGCAGCGAGTCACTTCCCTGAAATGTTCTCAGGCCAGCCACCTGGCAGCAGGGGCAGGGCTGAGGGTAACACGAGCCCCATGAGGGTCCCCAGGAGGTAGGCCAGGGGCCAGGTGGGGCCCGAGGCATCCAAGTAAAGTAGCGTTGGTGGGCAGTGAGGGTGGCATGTCCTCGCCTCAGAGCCCTGCACGCGCTGCTCCCTGGAAGCCCTCCTGGACTCCTGTGACCTCTGCTCACTGCCCACCCTTGCCCACACGCTTCCTTCTGCCTGACGCATCCAGGCCTTCAGCCAGCAGCATCGATGGGCCAACCGTCCAGATCTTCCCGTGTCCCTCGGGGTGTGATGCTGGGTGCCAAGACCTGTCCAGGGGCGGGGCTGTGCTTGGGCCGTCCCTGCGGGCATGGGCCGTATGGTGACCATCGGCACTGCCCTCAGGGTGATGCGGGCAGCTGAGGAGACGACGTCCAGCAACGTCTTCCCCTTCAAGATCATCCACATCAGCAAGAAGCACCGCACATGGTTCTTCTCTGCCTCCTCTGAGGATGAGCGCAAGGTGATGGGGGCCGGGTTGGACCTGCCTTGTGGGGATGGGAACTATCAGGGCCCCCGTCCAGGCCCTGAGGGCCCGTGGCTGGGGCATGGGCAGCTGGGTGGGTGCCGCCCCCCGGTCTCCGGTCCTCACGCCCAGGGCCTGGCGCCAGCCCCCTCACACTCGGAGCACACTGTCTCAGGAGGAACCCTGGGTGGGCTGAAGGGGGGCCGCGGCCCCAGAAGGGCCAGCCAGCGTCGTCTTCCCCGACCTTGGTGGTCGACACAGACCAGCCAGTGCGGGCAGGGGAGGAGGGATGAGGGTGGGTTCCTCCCCAGGCAGCAGCATGCCCGCTGAGGGCCTGACTGACCCGCAGAGCTGGATGGCCTTGCTGCGCAGGGAGATTGGCCACTTGTGTGAGAAGAGGGAGCTGCCTCTGGATGCCAGGTGGGCCTGGGGGTGTGATGGTGGGCGGGTGTCACCAGGGCCCTAGACTTGACACGTGTGCCTGCCTCCTGACCCCTGGGGGCTTGGCCCAGGATCCCTTCCTTGAAGGCCTTTCTGAAGGTGCCAGCTGGGCCACGTGTGTGCGGGGTGTGCACCTGTGTGCGTGTACCCAAGTGTGTAAGCATGTGTATGCGTGCACCCTGTTGGTAGTTCCTGTTTGGGGATTACACGTGCTTTTACTTGCCCACCCAGGAAGCCCGGCATTTCTAGCAGCTCAGGCCTTTGGGTTCCCAGCGCCCCTCACTAGGGAGTGAGAGCAGACTGAGTGCCCAGGGCAGTGGCCCAGCCTGTCTGGGTGTTGATGACCGCACGGTGAAAGTGGCTCAACAAGCAGCAGGGGCTCTCTGGGCGGGAACTGCATCCATCCGGTCCTTTCAGACACGAGAATAGGGAGGCCCAGCTAGGGCTGGGCAGACCTAGGCTGTCCCGCAGGCCCCTGCCTGAGCCCCCAGGGCAGGAGCAGGTGGGGACGTGGGCCCAGCCTTGAGGCCTGGCACCGTCTGGGCGGTCGGGGTGTACTTGTGGCGAGAACCACGGTGGGGCTGAGGAGGGAGACACCACAGCCTCCAGTCCCCTTGTCTGCCCTTGTTTTGTGTGTATACGTGTGTCTAGATCTTTCTGTGTCCGCACGTCTCCGTGTGTGTTCTCGTGTTTATCTGTGTGTTTGTCTGCATCTGCGTGTCTTGAGTGTCCACGTGCATGTGGCTGCGTCCTTGTCTGTGTGTGTGTGTCTGTCTGCGTGTCCGAGAGTGTGAGTGCAGGAGACCCCCTGCCCGGTACTCACTGCCCTGCCTGCCCTGCGCTCAGCGACTCCAGCTCAGACACAGACAGCTTCTACGGTGCCATCGAGCGGCCCGTGGACATCAGCCTCTCTCCGTACCCCACTGACAATGAAGGTGAGACGCGTCCCCGTCCTCTGCCCGCCGTCTCTCCACGCCTGGCTGCTGCCCCGGAGGGAGACGTAGCTGGCTGGCCTCCCTGCTCCGTCCCTTCGGCTTCCCCAGGCAGCCTGGGTCTTGGGTTCCCATCCTGGCCACCTCATCCTGGCCCTGGGCCCCCCTGAGGGAGCGAGGTCCTGAGAGCCCCACCCGGCCACCCCGGCCTGGGTGCAGCTGACCTGGGTGGCCCTGAGTCCGACCCTCCATCTGCCCCACAGACTACGAGCACGACGATGAGGACGACTCTTACATGGAACCCGACTGCCCCGAGTCCGGGAAGCCCGAGGGTGGGTGGGGCAGCCGGTGGGCCTGGGGAGCGCTGGGAGTAGAGAACAGGGGCTGGGGCCTAGAGCAGAGGCTCACCCACACTGGGCTGGGGCTGTCAGCCTGGGTGTGGCTCCGGGTGGCCTGAGGCCTGACCGTCTCCACCTCGGGCCTCAGTTTTCCTCCTTCAGCCCAAGTATTGGGAGGAACGGAGCAGAACAGGCTGGCTCTGCTCACCTGCTCCTCTGACCTCCTCCAGTTCGCCTGGGATGGGGGGAGGGGCGGTGCAGAGGTAGGTGAGGGGGAGCCCCACACGTGGGATGCTGAGCCAGGGCTGGCCCTGGGGGCTGAGAACAGGGAAGGAGGATAGCTCACCGTGAGCACCTGTGGCCAGATGGTCACTCAACTGCCCCACCCTACCCCCATCCCCCAGAGCACTGGGCCAGGAAAAGGGACAGGCTTGTACCAGGCATCCCAGGGAAGCGCAGGGATGGGTGGGGGGAGGGCCACGCCTCTGTCCTGCCATCTGTGGCATCACTCACTGTTCCTTCCTCCCCCAGCTCCTTTTGTTCTTGTTGATTTCATCATGGCCGGGGACTCCCTGTTCCTTGGTCTCCTCTCTAGCCACCTTGTCTTCTGCCCCCCTCAACTCCTCGTGGCCTCCTCTTAGCTGTGCCTCCCTCCCTCCTACTAGCTCCCTCCCTCTGGGGCCCCAGCTCCCACAGGCCTTCAGCCCCCCAGGACCTGCAGGCCAGCACCGAGCCCACATCAGACCCTCGTCCGTTCTCTGGTCTTTGCGCCCTCGCTCGCCCGCTTCGCTCTCTCATCTGTCGGGCCTGTGACCACAGCCCTGGTGAAGCCCTGCCTCCGTCTGCCCCACCCCTGGCTGGAGAGAGCCCACAGAGGCCTTACCCTCATCCCCACCTTGGACCTCCAGGGGCCCAGTGCCCCTGCACACCTGCTTGCGCATTCCCAGCTCCTCACCCAGAACGCCTCTCGTCAGGGTTCCCACCCCAGCGCCCGAGGGTGGCACTTGGCCCGGGGCCCCCTCCCTGCCCCCACCTGCGTCGCCAGCTCCAGACACCTTGTGCTCCAGGTCCCCTCCCGCCCAGCCCTGTGCTGCCCGGGGTGCCCACGCGCATGGCCCTGGGGCTCAGGCCTGGCCCGCTCCTCTCCTGTCGCTCCTGGGCCACAGCCAGTGTCATTGACAGGCTGTTGACTCCTGACATTTCCAGCCGGGGCCCCTCCTCTGAACTCTGGGCCTGGGCCCCTGGAGTCCACTCGACGTCCCTTAGGTGTCTCGTGGCACTGTCAACTTGTTAGGAGCAAACCCAACCCCCAGCTTCCCCTAGCCTGCTCCCGCCTTTCCTTCTCACCTCTGTTAGTGGGAACCCCAGCCGCCCCAGCTGAGGCCCAGTCCTGGGAGGCTTCCTTGCTCCTCCTCCTTTCTCGCCCCAACCCACTCCCCTGGAAGCTGAAGGCTCCTGATGTGACACCTGGGCTTCAGGAAGTTTGCACAGGCTGCCGTATGGAGGACAGATAGGGAGGGCCGGGTGGCCTGGGGTGGGCCAGGGTCCCAGAAGGAAGGCTGCATCGGGAGTGCTGGGCATCGGGGCTGTAGGTCGCGCTGCCGGGCTGGGGGGGGCTGGGCGCTGAGGGGTTGCATGCCTGCTTGGCCCTGGGCGGCCCTTGCCAGCAGAGGTGGTGCTGCTCTGGCCTCCAGCAGGGGACGCTCGCTCACCAGATGGGTCTCCTCGCTCTGCAGATGCCCTGATCCACCCACCGGCCTACCCCCCACCTCCGGTGCCCACGCCCAGGAAGCCTGTCTTCTCTGATGTGCCCCGGGTCCACTCCTTTTCCTCCAAGGGTCCAGGCCCTCTGCTGCCACCTGCACCCCCTAAGCGTGGCCTCCCCGATGCCGGCCCGGCCCCCGAGGACTCCAGGAGGGAGCTGCTGGGCCCGAGGTGGCTCGAGCCCGGCCCCAGGGTGTCCACTCCCTCTCGGAGGGTGAGTGAACCCCCGCTGGGCGGCCTGCCTGCCGTGCCTAGCCGGAAGCCACCTTGCTTCCGCGAGGATGCCAGCTCCGGCCCAGAGCCCCGGGTCCCTGGCCATGGCGCCAGCTCTCCCTCTAGCTCTGCCAGTGCAGCCGCTACCACCTCCAGGAACTGTGACAAGCTCAAGTCCTTCCACCTGTCCCCTCGGGGGCCACCCACACCTGAGCCCCCTCCTGTGCCGGCCAACAAGCCCAAGTTCCTGAAGGTGGCTGAAGCGGCCCCCCCGAGGGAGGCAGCCAAGCCTGGACTCTTCGTGCCCGCCGTGGCCCCCCGGCCTCCCGCACTGAAGCTGCCCACGCCCGAGGCTACAGCCCGGCCCGCGATTCTGCCCAGGCCAGAAAAGCCGCCCCTCCCCCACCTCCAGTGAGTCTGTGCCGCACTGGTGCCACCGGGACCCCTCCCCAGCCTGTCTTCCCACCAGCGACCCAGCCTCCCTGCCTCTGGCACGCAGCCCGTGACGGGCGCCAGGCGGCCGTGGCCTGGGTGGGTGGGAGGAGGAAGGCGCCTCGATGGCCCTGGGCTGCCTAGGCTGAACTGCCTCCCCTACACCTGACGCGGGGGTTCCCAGGGGTGTCCCGCCTGGCCTTTGAGGTCCAGCCCTGTGGGTGGTGAGCCTGGAGCCCGTGGCTGCCTTGGGGAGCAGTGGGCGAGGTGGGGCTTTGGGCACCCTGGCCTCCCAGAGCCCCTGCCGTGCAGTGAGGGCCCTCCGGGCGCTGCCAGCCTGCCCAGGGACGGGCGCTGTGGGGAGGTGTGGGACTGAGCCCTCCTGAGTCAGAAGTGCCCTTCCCGGCCCTGTCTGGGGCTCCAGATGCCACCCTGGCTCTGACGCCACCGAGGCTGCCTCTGTGCCCTTCTCGACTGGGAACCTGCCAGTTCCCAGTGGAATGTGGAACATGTGTGTGACTCACCTCGAGGCCTGCTCGAAACACAGCTTTATTGCTGGGCAGTGCCGGGAGACTGGTGTGTCCTCACACCCACAGCCCGCAGGGCCCTCAGCAGTGAAGGCTCCGGGAGCTGCAGTGGGGAGCCTGAGTGGGCACAACACTAGCACGGTTCCCCCTGAGTCCTCTTGACCACGGCACCCTTCTCCCTAGGGCTCTGTAAGCACTGCCACCCATGTGGGAGTGCCTGGGAGGACCCCTTGGCACACTCATGGTTCTGTTTTGTGAGGGGCCACAGAGTTGTAGGCTGGCTCATGTGTTCGTGAGCGCTGGGTCTGGACCTGAGTGCCTCGGGGCTGCGTGTGCCAGAGCTGATCGTCCACAGCACAGCCTCACCCACAGCCTGGCAGCCCATCCCAGGGTGGCCTCCTTTAACCTTCCCTGAAGCCCTGGCCACAGTGAGGGGCGTGTCCCTTCGTTTCGACCCGTTCACATCCATCCCCCATGGCTCTGGGAGGAGTGCAACTTGGCTGAGGTCACAGAGCTGGTCCGTGGCAGTGCTGGGCCCTTTGTCCACAGCGTCTAGAGCCCAGGACCCCCCTTGCCGGTGACGCTGGCTCAGGCGGCCAGGCATCAGGTGACTGCTGCCACCCCAGGGTGGTCAGCGTAGAGCCCCCCAGAGCTCTGTGGTCCTGAGCCTTTGACAGCCACCAGGGCTGCAGGCGCCAGACCTCATGGGTCCCCTGGCTTGGTGTGGTCACTTAGAGGGCACGGGGAGCAGCGTCTGGGGGGAGCAGAGGGGGCCTGTCCCACGTCTGGCAGCGACACGGCCTTCCTCTCTTTTCTCCCCTTCCAGGAGATCACCCCCCGACGGGCAGAGCTTCAGGAGCTTCTCCTTTGAAAAACCCCGGAAACCCACGCAGGCTGACACGCCGCAGGCGGACGCTGGTGGGGAGGACTCTGATGAGGACTACGAGAAGGCAAGGCCGGGTGGGGCGCCCAGATGTCCGACGGGGTGGGCGGCCGCGGGAGAGCTGGGGGCATGGGACACAGTGTGCAGCCCCGGCTCCTGGCACAGGCTGGCAGCCAGCGGGGAAAGCCCCACCTGGGCCTTGACGCTGACCACGCCGGCCTCCCTCCAGGTGCCACTGCCCAGCTCAGTTTTCATCAACACCACGGAATCTTGCGAAGCAGAAAGGTCAGTGTGAAGCTGTTCTTTCTCCAAGCCCTTGTCTTGGCGGACCTGAGGTTCTCTGCCACCCCGCCACACACACCTACACACACACCCACACACCCACACACACACATACCTACACACACAGCTACACACACCCACACACACCTCCACACACACCTCGACACACACCTACACAGCTACACACATACCTACACACACACACACCTACACGCATGCACGCACGCATGCACGCCCTCCGGTCTTCCTGCTCTTTGGTCCCCCTTTCCAGCCTCGGTGCTGGGCAGTTACTGGCACGAGAACACAGCTGAGTGCCACGAGAAACCCGGCGAAAGAACGACTCCTGCCAGCTCAGCCCCTGCTCTGGCCTCTCCCTGGGCTCTGTGCGGCTGGCCCTCGTGGTCCCCAGTGCTCTCGGAACCTGAGCTGCAGAATCTGGGATGACAGAAAGCCACGTGGTGGTGGGGGCTGGAGGGTCCTTGAGAGAGCTGTCCGAGGGGGGCTCATCTGTTCTCATGGCTGTGTTCTTGTAGGCTGTTCAAAGCCACGAGCCCCCGGGGAGAGCCCCTGGACGGCCTCTACTGCATCCGGAACTCCTCCACCAAGGCGGGGAAGGTAGGCACCCAGGGAGGACGCTCAGCCGCCACCCTGCTGTGCAAAGGCCCCCAAGATGGCTGCGTGGTGGGGTCTGCCAGTCTCTACACACCTGGGCTGACAGGCGAGAACAGGACTCTACAGTTCGTAGCTCATTTCCCCGCGCAGCCTCTTACTGGGTTTCTCAACCGGGCTCCATCCTTGAGGTCTACAGCGCCTTCTCTCCATCCATTCTCAGGAACTCATCACCATCTGCAGTGGTGCCCACTCCCCAGCACGGGCGTGAGGCACAGGAAGGGTTGGGGGGCCCGGGGCTCTGACCGGGTGTGGGGTTCCCCTTTCCACTCTTTGAAGGGGAGGCTGCTTGGGGCCGTGGGAACGTTAGGAGGTCTGCTGGCTCTGCCTGGGCCCCTCCAAGGGTGACTCGTGTGACCTCACTGAGCCTGTTTCCCCTTGAGTGTCGGAGATGGTCCTAGTGTGGACCAGGCACCTACTACTGTCATTCACGTCTTAGCGGACTCTCTGAGGGCAGGAGTCCCGGGGCAAGGGGCCGCCCATCCTGACCCTGCTGTCCATGGGCAGGGGCACCCTCTCCCAGGGACCCAGCCTCGACGCTGCTGCCCCCGCACCCCGAGTCTGTGTCTTTCCTGAGGGGAGTGAGCCATCCTCTGCCCACTCCTCTCCCCGCAGGTTCTGGTCGTGTGGGACGAAACCTCCAGCAAAGTGAGGAACTACCGCATCTTTGAGAAGGTGAGTGGGCTGGCCTACCTGAGGGCCCTGGGTGGGAGGGGAGCCCTGGTCCGGGGCTCGGCTGGGGTCAGGGCAGAGTCTCCCTGGGAGAGCATAGGTAGTGGGTGGTCTGAGGCCAGCACCCCCAAACACCCCTCCTCCGCCCTCCCCTCTCTCCACGGCCCCACCTCCCCCGCTCTCCTGGTTTCTCTGTGTCCTCCATTGACCCTAGAGGAGATGGGGTGATCAGCCCTCGGCCCTAGGCTCATTTACAGACCTGGCCTGCGTCCCCTGGGCAGAGCGTTGCTGCCGACCGCCCTGTCTTACAGGGAGGGCCGGCTGGCCGGCCCCTCTGACGCTGCGCCCCTCCCCACCCAGGAGGCGAAGTTCTTCCTGGAGGGCGAGGTCCTGTGTGTGAGCGTGGGCAGCCTGGTGGAGCATTACCACACTCACGTGCTGCCTGGCCACCAGAGCCTGCTGCTGCGGCACCCCTATGGTTACGCCAGGCCCAGGTGACGCCTGTGCTGCACGCTACCGGGCAGAGACGGCCACGGGGCCACCGCCCTGGGCCACGCAGAAGGAGACCGGCCTGCACGGGAGAATACGCGGGAGCCAGCGCCCTGCTCTGACCCGGGGCCTCCCCAGTGGACACCTCACAGAGATTGCCAGGCCAGGCCCCGCCCAGCAGGCTGGGTCCCCCGGGGCTCAGCCAGGCCCTGGGCTCCAGGGAATTATGTGGGGCTCTCCTGTCTCACCCTACCCACCTCCCAGGAGCCTAGGAATGAGCCCAGTCTGGACTTGATTTACAGAAATTCTGGCACACCCCCCCGGCACTGGGCTGGGAGCTGGGCAGGGCTGGGGTATTTGGGGTGGGGCAGGGGCTGGACCCCCAGGAACGCTACAACGCAGGCTCCGTGAGGGGCCGGTGCCGCACAATAAAGCACAGATGACCTTTGCCCCGGTGGCCAGGGCTGCACTGGGAAGGGGGCACGGCCAGCCTTACTGAGTACCCACGCCAGCCTCCAAGTGTTGACTGTAGCAGGTCAGCTCACGGGACCTCTAGGAGGTGGCCTTGTTTTCTAGGCCACAGGGCGCTAAATGACTTACCCTTGGGTCCACAGCTGGTAACAGAACAGGACCCCAAAAGTTGGACAGTCTGGGCCCAGAGCCTGTATCCAGAACGCCAGGTTCTGCTGCCAGAAGTCAGGTTACTGGGAGACAACCGGGCAGAAGGTACGCACAGCACCCACCGTCCATGGCAGCGGGGTGTGCAGGGGCTGGGAGCTTGCAGCGCAGCTGGGGGCTCCAGGAAGACTTCCTGGAGGAAGTGATGGCTACAGTGCTACAGGAAGAGTAGGCCCTGTGTCGGCCAGGGGTGGGTGGGGACAGTGGTACCCAGATGCCCAAGTCCTCTGGTCCGTGCCTGGTGCAGGCCCAGCACCGATCATCCCCTTGCTTCCTGTCATGGAATTCCAGCAGGCTGCTCTCCCTGGCATGGCCATCCAGGCTGAAATTTTTTTTTTCCTCATAAAAACAGACTCAACTGGGTGTCAGGGCTGGCAGGGAACCCAGGGTCATTTGCTCCTCGCTGCACTTTGTGTTGGGAATGAGGAATTTGCGATGTAAAAGCCAAGCCACAAGAGCCTATGTGCCCACTAGCCATTGATTAATGGTCCCAGAGGAAAGCCCTTTGGACGTCCCCTCCCCGGCCCTGGGCATGTCCTGGGGTGAGGTCCTGGAGGAGAGAGAAGTCCAGTCAGGTGGGAGGCTCCTGGAGGTGCAGCAGGGAAGACAGCAGCCGTCTCCTCCCAGGAACTGAGTGTCCAGCACCACCTCTACAGATGTTTCTTCTTCAGCCACCCGGTGGAGTTCGGGAAATCGGAGCCCCTGGTGTTCCTTCCGCAGCATCTGTGGGAAACCAGCAGTTCCTCCTTCCTGCAGTTGCAGTCCACTGCCCGGGGCCCAGTGACGCACACCAGTCCCCACTGTGGCTTGCAGTTTCCCTTCCTGTGAAATCAGAGAAGCATTTTCCAGCAGTTTCTGGGGTCTGCTGTGCTGCTGATTGCTGTAGGACACATGACACTAATGTTTTTAGCTAACACGCAGCCACTTGGCAGCCAGCTCATACTTGAAGACCCCTGAGCTGGAAGGTTGGGGGGTTCTGGTGTCCAGAGCCAGGTGATAGGTCCTTCTGGCCACCTGGACAGATGAGACCTGTCGCTGCTAGAGGCCTACCCCAGAGCCCACCCCAGGGCCTGCCAGGACAGCTGCCCTCCTCTGAGTTCACACCTCAGGCCCAGGGCCTCGGTTGCTAGAGTGTGTGTGTGGAGGGTAGTGGATGGGGCCCCGGGCACGGTCCTCCAGCACGCAGGAGGGGCTGGAAGGGGTCCCACTCCCCTGAGACTTGCCATGAAAGTTCTATTCCTCACGTAGGGCTGGAGGGTGGTTACCACTGGCTGAGTACTTCCTGTACTAAAGGTGCTGAGCTGCACACTTGACTTAGGTCTAATAGCAGCTGCCCTCCAGGCAAACTGTTTTACAGGTGAGAAAACCCAGGCTCAGAGAGGCCTGGATTCCAGACCCAGCCGTGTGATCTGTCCTTCGTTGCTGAGCCCAGACCCTGGCCCCTGCCTAGCTCTCTGCCACCCGTGCGGCCTCGGACAGTCATTGTAGGGTGTCTGGTTAGCCTGCCTCCTGGGGTTCTGGGCATGCCTTCACCCAGCAAGGCGGGGACAAGGCTGGCCTGCCTCACTGTTCTGCCCTCCCAGCCGCAGTCTGTGGGTAAACTGATGGGGGCCCCACCCGAGGTGCTGTGCTGCTCCCTCACCTTACAGATAGGGGAACTGAGGCTCAGAGAGGCTTTGCTGACCTGCCCATCCTGATGGTGAGTCCAGAGATGGTTCAATTCCTGTGCCAGGGAACAGGGCCCTGGACGCTTTGGGAAGCTTCTCCAAGCTGAGCACTGAACATGGTTTTACTTTTCCTGCAGTTCATCAGGAGTGCAGCGAGCCTCTGTACCTTCTGTTTATAGAGAGTTTTATTGTCAAAAGTTGTTTTTAGAACCAGAAGAGACCTCACAAAACAAGCCAGGGTTGCTCCAGTCCCCACGCCAATTCTGGGTCACATTGCATGGACGCCCCCTGCTGGTCCGAGGGGGAACTTCTGGCACCCCAGGCTGAGCACCAGGGGCTTGGGCCCAAGGGGCTTCTCGTCCAGCTGGGCTGCACTGGGCTGGCCTCTGGAGGGCATGGCATAGAGGACAGCAAGGCCATCCAGGGAATATCAGGCAGAGCTGGCACTTGAACCAAATCTGTGTGTCTCTAGAGAGGCAGTGAGGGGCAGGCCGCAGCCTGTCTCTGGCTGTGACTCAGCAGCAGGGAGCCTCTGGCTGGGCAACCTGCACACACATCGGGCCCCCCCCCGTCTGTGCCCCGGAGATGGTTGCTAGTGGCCATCCCGCATCAAGCCACCAGCACTCTCTCGGGAGGGAGAGTTGTGGGATGCAAAGCAGACCTGACCCATCTGCCTCCCTCAGACTTCCTTTGCTCCTCAGAAACCACAGAGGCTGCCCGACAGGTGCCCCTGCGTCACCCTCCAGCTGCATCCCTGGTCACGCTCTGAGCTACTCAGCTGAGGCACCTCCTTTTTCCTTTCATTTCCGGTGGAATGAAACACATCCAGAAAAGTGAACACAAATGTACAGTGTAATAAATTGCTATGAAGTGAACCAGGCCCTGTGTGCCCTCCCCAGCTCAGCGCCACCCCCTTCCTCTCTCACAAGTAACCCCTGCCCTTGCTTTGGGGAGGCTCACATTGCTGTTTTGCTATGAAGGCTTCATCCATCACAGTGCTTTCCTGTTTTCGCACGTTATGTGATTGGAATCATACAGGTGCAAGCTTTGGCATCTGGCTTCTGCTCATTACATCTTTGAGATTTGTCCAGGTTGCTGTGCGTAGCTGTAGTTTGTTCAGATTCATTGCTGAAAACTGTTCCATTGACTGTATCGTAGTTCATGGATCCATTTTACTGCAGATGGACGTTTAGTTTGTTTGTAGTTTGGGACAATCACAGACAGTGCTACTAGGAACAGTCTTATCTGTGTTTGTGATGCATGTGTGCACAAGTTTCTCTAGGGTATGTACCCAGGAGTCTCACTCCTGAGTTATAGGGCCTTTCACTGTTTTCCAAGAATTTTGCAGTAAAAGAGACTTCCCTTGGTTCCACATCCTTGCTAACACTTGGTATTGTCAGACTTTTCTTCATCTTTGCCAGTCTGGTGGGTGTTTAATTATGGCTTTAATTTGCATTTAGCTAATTACTAATGAGGTTGGGCACATTTTCATGTATTTACTAACCATTTTGATTTTCTCTCCTGTGAAGTGTCTATTCAAGTCTTTTGCCTATTTTCCTGTTGTTTTCTTATTAGTCTATAAGAATTCTTTATATAGCCTCTATATTGTCAGCAACATGTATCATATATATCTCCTCCAACTGTATAATTGTTTTTTGCACGTAGCAAGAGATAAAGATTCACTTTCATTTTCCCCCCATAGGGTTACCCCACCCACCCCTGCATCATTTATTTATAACCTGTCCCTTCCCCAACCATCTGCAATGCCACTTGCCATATATCCATATACGTGTAGGTTTGTGGCTGGACTCTTTGTTCTGTTCTATTTGTCTGTCTGTTTCTATACCAATACCAAGCTCTCTTACATACTGTTGCTTAATTATGTCTTTTTTTTCTTTTCAAATTTAGTTTGTTGGATGACACTACCCAAATAACACCATGCCCACTATTTTTTTTTTAATTTATTTATTTTTTTATTTGGTTGTGCCGGGTCTTAATTGCGGCATGTGGGCTCCTTAGTTGTAGCATGTGAACTCTCAGTTGTGCCATGCATGTGGGATCTAGTTCCCTGACCAGGGATGGAACTCGTGCCCCCTGCAGTGGAATTACAGAGTGTTAACCACTGGACCGCCAGGGAATTCCCTTCAGGTGACTTTTAACTTCATTGAGCTCCTCGTTACTTGATATTTATTGTTGTATGTGTCTAGTTTTGTGGGTTTTTTTTTAACTCCTACTTAAGACAGTATTTCTTTTTTTTTTCTTGGAAAAGGAAGGTGTACTTTAATAGCATTTAAACTTTTTTATGATGATAAAATATAGATAATATAAATTAACCATTTTAAGCATGCAGTTCTGTGACATTAAGTACATTCACGTTGTTGTGAACCATCACCACCATCCATCCCCATAACTTTTTTCATCCTGTAAAACTGAAACTCTGTATCCATTAAATAGTAACTCCCCATTCCCCCTCCTCCAGCCCCTGGCAACCGCCATTCTACTTTCTGTCTTATGAATTTGACTATTCTAGTTCCGTCATACAAGTGGAATCATCATTTGTCCTTTTGTGACTGGCTTATTTCACTTAGCATAATGTCTTTAAGATTCATCCATGTTGTAGCATGTGTCAGAATTTCCTCTTTTTTAAAAAATTTATTTATTTAT